GAGCACCATGCTACACGTGCACCGGTATGTAAGCAAGCTGCCCATAATCGTTTCATAGCCGATAACCGGACCGATATAGCATTCGGTTACCCGATAAGCAAAATGTTAATCGCTTCAGCCCTATTTTACACGAAACGGGGCTTTATTATTTCGATTCCTTCAGACAGACGGGCTCTATTTGAAGGGGGGGGGGGACTTGTATCCGAGCGTGTACAGTGTATCCGAGCGTGTACAGTATGCACACTGGCATGCGACAAACAAATAGCACTGACGTTGACCTCGAGTAGATCATCGCAGTGGAAATATGGAGAACACTCGTTGCGACTTTAACACTATTCCACGCGGCCTACCGGAAATCACCGATGTGGACACACCCCTGCAGGCACTGGAGCAGCAGCGTGCAGAAAGAGGCTCTCGGTGTGCCCATTTCCAACATCCTGAGTGTGGACACTACGGCCACCACCAACGCCATGCAAGTCCGTGTGCAGTGCAAACCAAGCCTATTTCTGAATCTTTGAATTTTACTGTATCTTGCAAGGCACATCAATGCCCCCTCCCCCCACCACGAACTTACAAATTCACATTTCCATCTATCAAGCCTGAGACGAACAGTGGCTCGGATGGATGGCACTGTAAGCCAAACGCTGGGCAATCCAACTGAATGGTCTAGAATGAAATACAAAAATTTACCGGTAATGGTTTCGCAAATTCCAGAAATGATAAGTAAAATTGAACTGAAATGTTATGCATTGAATTGAACTGCCTTTGCCTTACTTTGCTAGCCGACATCACTACAGGAAAACTCTTCTTGTCGGAACCCAGCAAATAGTGAACACAACTAAGTAAGTAATAGTTGTCGAATACAGTTGGGCCTCTGATCACTGAACTCTGAAGACGAATTTCTTCATTTGTTTAGTTTATTCACCATAATTATTATTATTATTATTATTATTCACCACCAGCTAGCTGGTGGTTGCCGTCACTGGTCGGGTGCATGTACAGCTGACACCACACTGACCATGCATGATCAAGACTCGAAAACGGCTATGACCATGACCATGATGACTCGAGAGTATGAACTCTTATCTTGCCATGATTCATGAACACGTGGAAAGACCACATGCACAGGATTTCGGTGCACTCAATATGAAACACACATAAGGCCAAGTAAAAAAAAAAGCTAGATGATCGTCCCCGTCCGCCCCAGTTTTTGTCAGCGCCCCAAGAAATATTTTATTTTTTAAATCGTGAGTTTTTGCCGAAATCGTTGGTTTTTTACCGATCGCGGATGCAGGAAACATGTGCACGCTTTGTTTAATACTTTCTTTACTATATGGACCACATACTACTAGTATATCACAACGTCAGTATCGATCTGCTGAAGAAAGAAAAAGAAAAAAAGAAAAAAAAAGAAAAAAAGAGAAAAAAACCTTGATGTTGTTGTGTACACTGTACTGTGTGCATGAGAGGGTAAAAAGTAAAAAAATAAAAATAAAATCCTCCCGCCCTCCCCGATTTTTCCAAAAAAAAGGACGATCATCTAGTAATTTTTTTTACTCGGCCTAATATTATAATAATTATATTTAGCGTACAGTTTCATGCAAAACATGATACAACTAACGTTACTTTGTCGTACAAACTCATGGGTAGGTACGACGTTGTACTGTTTTGTAGTACATTTTCAACATCATCGTACAACTACAAGACTCGACATGCGCGATATGCATGCAGCAGACTTGAAGTTGAAAGGGACTTTTTTTGAAAAGTAACCTTGCCTCAAAATGCTGTATGGGAGATTGTGAGCGCGTGCAAACAATGCACAACTCGACTACAGCAACTGCACGTTTCGAATCCATTTTTCGAATTGTTTTCGGTATTTGTTCCTCGCCGAAGTAACATTAGTTCTAGCTTGTTCAAACTTCTCAAACACCTTGCTCGAGCTTCTAGATTCTGATTCAAACAGAAATATTGCGTTGCTTTCCTTGTAGTGGTAGCTTATCAGCGCTTTTCTGCACTCTGTACAAAGCATTCTCTACTCTGCAGTCCAGATGGACGACCCCAGGGGGCAGGATATAACACTAAAGGACGACGGGGAGGAATTGGCCTTCAAAAGAATAGTAAAAGAAGGACCTGCTGATGACAAACCCCATCGCAATGATGATGTCTATGTTCACTATGTCGGGCGTCTTCCCAGCGGGGAAGTCTGCGACTCGACCAGGGAGCGGGGAACTCCATTCAAATTTCAGCTTGGAGGAGGTAAAGCATAATAATAGTTGTGATTGCACTTGAGTTCGATTCTACTATCATTATACATGTATTGCACTTGAATGTCCTAATAATTATTGTGAATGGCGTATTCTAACACGAACGCAGGTACATTGTAGTGTCATGCTTTGCCAGTAGAAATTATAGAAAGCTGGTAGCAACGGATGTTCAGCTTCCACTTCCTGTTTGAAAATGCTCTATACAGTCGTCCCTCTTTAAAATCGAGCACTTTATAAACCACCACCCTCTATAAACCAGCATAACTGACATTGACCAAAATGTCCTCTTCATGCGCACTGCAGCAGTAAATCGGATTTGTTAATCCAGCACCCTCCCTAATCCAGCAGAATTTCTGCAGCACAAATGGTGCTGGATTTTGAAAGGACCACTGTACAACACAATTTCTTCAATACTCACACGCAGACCAAGTGGCAATACAATGTGCAAGAGGAAGAGCGGACACATACTTGCTCGCACGTGCCTCTCTAGTCTCTGTCTGTCTTACTACCTCCGACAAGCAAAACTTGACGCTTTTCTTTACTTCAAATTACTCAAAATAACTCCCACTTTACAATCCAAAATAATGATTGACTCACCAAAAAACAACTTCATAATGCTCAACAAGGACATGAGAGATATCAGTTAGTCTGAACCACTCTCCTCTGAGTCAGAAATCGCAGTTTTGTGTGGACAGGAATTGTCCCAGTAGTCAGACGAAAGTCCGGCTAGAGCGGATTCAGTTGCACCAAGTACCTCTGCTGTGATCGCTCTGGAAATCTCGATGTCGCTCCTATGTGCTGTGCTCGAGCCACGGTGTCGAAGGTAGTCATTTCCGCCGCCACTCTCCAGGATGCCGTGGTAAGAACTGTGCAAAACCTCCACACACGCCTGGACTCCAACTGTCTGGTCGGGTGTTCTTGCCAACAGTCCAAAATTGCTGGCAGCAATTCCTTGCGATTTCCCTTAGCCAGGAGACAGACACATCGTTCTGGAGGCTAATGAAAGACGCCAGATCGTTGGCATTGACGTCTGGACTTAGCTGTGCTGGCTGAGGGACCACGTGGACAGAGAGAGAGAGAGAGAGAGAGAGAGAGAGAGAGAGAGAGAGAGAGAGAGAGAGAGAGAGAGAGAGAACGTTTTTGGTTTTCTTTTGGCACGTGGATGCACGACGATTCTCTTTCCGCAGAATGGAAGCGCACATCGTTGTGCTGGCACAGGAGAGACTGGCCTGCCCCAGCAAACCGTCTACATGAACCTCTGAGCCATGTGCCACTCACCAGATCGTCACTTGGCATCCTGCACTCGGTTTCATCTCGGTACAAGTAGGTCGTGCCTCGCAGCCTTGTGGTACCACCACAAAAAATACAAAAAAATGCGCCAAATTTCGCTTGTCGGAGGTAGTATAAGCCAAGCAGTTTTGTGCTAGATGATTAATTGATCATGGCTGATGAAAGCTGGGAGCGGTGGTCATCGGCGTACATAGTATGATACGAGTCTCCACCTGTGGCATATTTCGAATGTATAGGGCTGTGAAGAGTCTCCCGCTCCTCTCGGTCTCTCATTGCAACCAATTCTATTCAATTGATTCCAAATTTTCGCCTCGGTTGACATCTTCAGGGAATTGATCAACTTGTGCATCATCAGCATAATTTAACTAGAATAAGCCAGTAGATTTCGATACTATTGGTGAAAACTAACTCCATGCACATGCTACCAATTCAACTCCCAGGAGATAAACAACAGCAACATTTGAGTTTGAAGTTAATTGTAACTAAGTCAGGAGCAATCACATCCATAGCAACACAGTGTGTGTATTCACACCCACTGTCTCACAATGTCATGCTTCAGTTCTGCATACACTCAGCCATGCGTGAAACTTAAAGCACACTTATGTATTGAGCACTCTACTCGAGCTGCCTCGACCGGCTCTGTTTGTTACACCCAGCCATGCACATTTCCATACACACACACACACACACACAGACACACACACACACACACACACACACACACATACATACATAAATAGGCACGCACACAATCTCATAATTCTACATTCACCCAGCCATTCACACTTCCACGCACACACACATAAGTCATAAGCGAGAACTATGCGCAGTGAGGTGGAAATCACATACCATATGTAAAATGTGATGTGACGAACATCCTATCCAAATCCTCTTCAACCAGAACATTACTGCATCCTGAACAGTAAACCCAGGTCTCTAATCTTGTAGGTGATTCCCATGGCATGTTGTGCCTGAGCCCACCCCCTATTGCTAGTATACTGTACCGTTTTGTGCACCCATTGCTGCAGGCAAGGTGTTGAGAGGCTTTGATGTTGGCGTGGCAACCATGAACGTCGGGGAGCAGGCCGTAATGACCCTGACGCCGAGGTACGCGTTTGGTGCCAAGGGCACGGCAAAAGTGCCGGCCAACACCACGGTGGAGTTTGACATTGAACTGCTCTCCTACACTGGCCAGGACGTCACCAAAGCGCTGGACGGTGGTGTGCTCAAGAACATGCTGCGTGCGGGTCAAGGCTTCCTGACGCCTCACAACAAGGCGAATGTAACATGTAAGTGAATGTGGTGTGCTTTAAAAAAAGAACATTTACAGTGCATTCCCGTTTTGCATCCTGGCGTTCAGACTAAACTGGTACTTATGTACTCCAGTGCATAGCTGGGTGTTGGCCGTGCTGGGCTTGCATAGTACACACAGTACACAGTGCTGCATGTATCCTATCCATGAGGTCAGACTCGACTTCCCGCACTTGTCTTTGTTCACGATGTTGACGGGTTTTTCTTAATGGAGTTCTTGTAGCCTGACTGTGCACTGGTTATGATAGTGATGGCAACAGTAGTACAATGTCATGCAGGCAATGTCATGCAGGGGCGTCGGAGGGTAGTAACTTAGGGTGGTACTGTCAGGCATCTGAGGTACAGTTTACTTGTTGGTAGGGGTGGCTCCACTGAAATGTTTCGAAATTTAGAGTCCAAATCAGCGCTTTTGATTGATTCATGGGGTACCTGGGGGCAAAAAGTGGTACGGTCAATACCGTAGTGACCGTAGCGTGTCCGACGCCCCTGTCATGTGGCATATCAGCACACTAAATCCTTGTCCAGTCCCACCGCCGATACAATCAGCAATTTGGCAAAAAAAACCTTATTCTAATGAAAGGAGATTTGTGCTTGTGACCGCTTGTGCTGATTCCTTCTCTTTTGTTGTAGCGGTACAGGTAAATGCTTATCTCTCTCCTACCCTACCCTACACACACACGCACCCACGCCCACGCACACGCACACACACACACACACACACACACACACGCACGCACACACACACACACACACACACACACACACACACACACACACACACACACACACACACACACCAGTATTATTACTGTGTAGCCACGAATGCATGCATGTGCTTGAAACTTGCAGTTTCTAGGAGTTTTTCTTTGATGCAAGTATGCTATGTGTGTGCGTATCTGCCTGCAGTGAAACTGAAATGTTGGCATGGCGAGCGACTTATCGAGGACGAGAGATATGAGTTCGAGCTTTCAAAGTCAGGTAAGGTCTCTCTTGTCTCTAGCAGTGTGAGCAGTGGTACTGGCATGGCTGCATACATATCTTGAGATCTCAGGCGTGCACAAGGAGGTGATAGGTGCACTGGGTATGGTCCTGTCACGTGTTGTGCTACTCCAGGATCTGGACAGCAAGATTGTGTGTGAAGCTGAGTATGTCCGTGATTAAAATTAATCCTTTAAAAGCCCGAACGTACGGCATATGCAGAGTGTACAGGGCGATTTCAAACTTTCGTAACTTCGCGAATACGTGACCGAATCGCCTCATCGAAAGGTCTATCGGCATTAGAAAAATCTCAGCTGTCGTCTCGAAGAAACCCGAACACGACCTGAGGTCAAGGAGTGGAGTTATGGAGCCAGCCAGCCACGTGCGGTGACGCAATCAGGCTACGGGCATCCTGACTTCTTTGCAAAAATCCCAGCGCTCTGTGATAAAATGTAAGGGATCGCGATGAGTATTTCGCTCGCAATTGACAATACCTTGGCGTGTACGCTGGCTTCACTCACTGCCGGGACAGGGTGGGGGTAGATGACATCATGCTACTGTCCCAGGTCGGCCATTTTGAAAAATGATGTCAAGAAGCCGTGAATCTCAAACACCACGAAAACAAAATGTATTAAAATCTGTTAATGTACATGATTGTATTTCCATTGCTTGCATCACAAATAGTAACATAGACAGGACATAGCAGTTGCCTCTGCACATGGTAAGTACACAGCTTGGCTTCAAAGTTTAAAAAAAGAAAAGAAAAAAGTTTGATTAGCGAGAACGTCAGCAAGCAACCGGGCATTGGTTTACTGGACCGAATCAACTGCAATTTCTGCGAGTCCAACAATTTCTCACCGCTCAAAGCATCCTTTAGATAGGCAGCTGTACTTCTGTACAAGCAAAAACTTCCGTCGGTCAATAATTTTGTCCAACTCCAAAGAAAGGGAGTTCGTCCGGCTGTAAATTTTGTCCGTGGATCATAAGAGTATAATTATTGAAAAGCTGGACAAATCGAAATTAGTCCGGCATTTAATTTTAGTCCAAAAGCTCCTGGGACGAAAAAGACGAAATTAAATTCCAGACGAATAATTCCGCTTACGTAAATATAGATAGCAATTTCGAATTTGGACTTCACAGAGAATTTCAAAGTGTTAGGAAATTAGAGGCCATATGCCACTTACTGCTCTTTTTTCTCCGAAACTCAACACTTGCAAGCCAGATGCCGGTGGTGGTGACTGATGATTTTTTCTTTCTTTCATATCTGGCTTGCAAGTGTTGAGTTTCGGAGAAAAAAAGAGCAGTATGTGGCATGTGGCCTCTAATTTCCTAACATTTTGTAAATATAGATACCTCAAAGTATTTATTTAGAAACGAAAACTAGTCATTTAGGGGGAGGGGGTTGAGCGCCTGTTCGTTTCTCGAAAATATCGACACACAGTTTGTATGTGTGGGCACGTCCAGAAAAACAGAAAAAAATGTCGATTCTATGTACCGTTTGTATATGTTCGTTTCTCAGGGAGGGGGGTTGAAGAGAAACGACCAGTTTTCGTTTTCCACTTTGATCCCATGCGCTTCACAGACCGAATGCGCTCCATTTGAAGCGGCGTGGCTAGCCCTGCCGTCACATGTCACGACACTTACACGAGGATGAAAAGAGAAAGGACCTCGACCTGACGGAAATGCTCCGGCACTGTCGTACACTGCACACTGCATGCACATGCACGGCCAGCTAGTGGGAAGCACATGCACGCGGATCTCGGGCCGGGCCGCTGGGTGACCTGATGCGCAGAAAGATGCGCAGAAGACCAGTTTTGACTTTGTATCGAGCTACCTTTTAAAATGGGTTAAATGCAGCTATCTGTCACCAAGTCAGTCATGTTCACATATTTTCGTGTTTGCAGTGCAAAAGCCTGCTACTAGGCTAATGTCTAGCTGCACAGATTGCTCCCCGAGCTTCCAATCGGTATGCATGCTAGTTAATAGTAGTTATCTCATTGTTTATCTGTTTGGTGTTAACGGCGGTCACTACCATGTAGCCCTGTGCCCTGTAGAGCGCGTACCAGGAGCATGGGCACCCCTCTCCCTTGGTCATCCACGCAGCACGTATGCTAGTGGGTATGATGTACGGAGCTGAATACAAGCAATGGTTGTGGACAACACTGTTTGCACACCTCCCTTTTCCTGGTCCGAGCATGCCACGGCAGGGTTACTTGAGCTTCTCTCGGTAGAACAAGGTCTGTTATCATCAATTGATCAACACATTTTTAGTATGATTGATCTTGTAGTCAAGGTATCCTCTGCTGTGGTTTGGCTATTATGACTGTGGGCCACATACCTTGCTGTTTGCTGTTTGCTGTACATGTATTGTGTCTGTGGGCCACATGCCTTGCTGTTTGCTGTACATGTATTGTGTCTGTGGCTGCACATACCCTGTTGTTAGGTGGTGGTACTAGCAATCCACGGCTGTTGACCAAGGGTGCCTTGCTCGGTCTGGGCATCATGCGAGAAAGGGAGGTATGCCGCTTGATCGTCGAGCCGGAGTACGCCTATGGTGACGATGGCTGCCCGGAGCTGGACATCCCGGCCGGTGCCACATTGGTGTATGAACTCCACCTGGTCAAGCTGCAAAATGTACGTTGAGCTGGTGCTGCTTGATTCTGTGCGTGTGTGTGTGTACGTGAGTTAGTGAGTTAGTGAGCGTGTGTGCGCGTGTATGTGAGTGATTGAGTGTGTGTGCGCGCATGTGTGTATGTGTGTGTGTGTGTGTGTGTGTGTGTGTGTGTGTGTGTGTGTGTGCGCATGCATGTGCGGGGGATAGACTGGAAGAGATTAGGAGATACCCGTACGTTTTTGGGTTTGCATTGAATGCATGTGTGTTGTGCTGACGTTACAATGAGGTCCGCGCTTCATTCACTCCTTTCTAACCTGGGATTTCTGCCTTTTGGGCTCTAAGACTCTCTTCTCGTGAGAGTATCCATGTTTTCCTAGGGACCCTCACACACTCAGCCCCAGGGCACTCTTCTGGGAATGTGATGGGCTAGATGCTCCGTGTGTGTGTGTGTGTGTGTGTGTGTGTGTGTGTGTGTGTGTGTGTGTGTGTGTGTGTGTGTGTGTGTGTGTGTGTGTGTGCATGATTATGCGTGCATGCTTGTGTGTACACGTGGTCTTGTCTTTGTTGTGTACAGAAAAAGAAAGTCTTTGAAATGGGATATGAGGAAAGAATGGAAGAAGCAGCTAAAGTCAAAGCGGAAGGCACCGAGTATTTCAAGGTGAGGCAACAATACCACAGAGCACAGATACGCGGACAGATGTGGCTAGAGAAACGTCGCAATGTGTTTGCCCGAGCATCAGCATGCACATACTCAGTACCATCACACGCAATAGCCACTCAAATATGCAGTGAGGGCAGGCCTGCTGCACAAGAAAAACACTCCCAGTAGGAGACAGTCCAGAAGATTTCATTTTCCACCTCGGTGATCGGGATCTTGATCTGGATTCCAGGGAAGACAAAGACGAGGACGGCTATGGTGCATCTGATGGGTTTGCCGCGGCCCGTCAACTTTTCCATGCTTCTCTCCAGCATCTGGATTGTCATCCCAGGAGCTTTCTTTCACTTTCCCGATCCGTAGTGGGTGTTTGCGCGACGACATGAGCCTGCGGTGCATACGTGTGTGTGTGTGTGGAGAGATGGTATTGGGCCTATGAGCAGGAGTGAGAGTTGGTTAGTGCAACCAGGACCTGTATTTAACAACCTTCCTGTGGTACATAGGACAGTTATAACTTGTCTGTGCGAACGAGTGATGCATCTAGTTAGGTTATGTGTCATGCATTGACCCATGGTCATGACTCATGAGGCCTGTGATGACTTGTGTCATGCATTGACCCATGGTCATGACTCCTGAGGCCTGTGATGACTTGAGCCTATAGTGATAAATGATGCTCCTTATTGCTTATGTTATACGAAGTAGTCACTACAGGCAGGTTTCTAACGTGTGTCTCTGTCCTCTGTGCAGACTACAGAGTATGCAGCTGCTCTCAAGTGCTACAAGCGAGGTGCGGAGCTGACCGGCGAAGAGAAGATCTTCAAGGCAGAGCGCGAGCAGAAGGAGATGGGCCAGCTGAGACTACTGTGCCTGTTGAACTGTGCGGCCACGCAGCTCAAGCTGAAGATGTGGGCCTCGGCCAGAGAATCCTGCTCACAGGTTTGTTGTAACATGCATTCACATGTATGAACTCTGGGCAGACTTTCGGAAGCATGAACCCCATTTCGGAATAAGTTAGCTCTCTCCTGAGAAGGCATCACAGTCGGCATCATCTTGGATGAGTGTTCTCTTGCCGAACGCGTGCCAGTGCTGGATGTAAAATATCTCCATGTTCCTGCAGCTCCCCTCCCACTCACCACACACACACACACACATACACACACACACACACACACACACACACACACACACACACACACACACACACACACACACACACACACACCATGTACCATGTATACACCCGTCGCAAGAGAAGCACCCAAATCTGCAAATGCACTGGATGTGCACCCACAGATTTTCTCTTATAGCAACGATAGCGAACAAGATCTGAATGAGACGGATCAAGACTTGCTCCAGATAACTGTCTAATCCACACAACTGGCAAATCCATGTGAATCGACCACCAATGCACACCTGGTCTACACCACGCGGAGTACACCGGCATAAAACGGCCAAGACAGTTACCTATGCACACCCTACACTTGCTGGGGTAACCAGTATAGACAGCCCGTTGCTTTGATAGAGGCAGACACTAGATGCACAGGTACCTTGAAGTGACACTGGAGTTACTTTACCAACCAGCCTCGGCTACTGAGTACTGGGAACCCAGAGCCAACAGACATACCAACAACCTCAGCCATGAAAGCTACTGTAAGACATGTTATTATAAGGAGTCGCAAATTTACCGATTGTCCAAAATCCATAGGTTAACGAGAACATACGATAACGATCTTGCAGTCTTCAGGCGTATCCGCACATATCACATATGTGGCCTTACAGCCTCAACAGAATTTATTATAACGAAGAAATGTCATTCGTTAAAACGTTAGATTTGCTTCCTCGTTATATTTACATGTCTTACAGTATTATAGTAACGACACACTGAATTGTGGAGCCGAAACTAGTACAACTTCCAAATGCTTTGGTCAGAAGGTAGCCTTCCGACAGGTTGGCACACACATACATACACACACACACGCGCGCGTGCGCGCGCACATACATACATGCACACACATACATGTACACACATATACACACATGTGCACACACATGTGCACACACGTGCACACACATGCGCGCACACACACACACACACACACACACACACACACACACACACACATATGCATGGAGGCACTCGTGTTCTCGCACACCGAGGCTAGTGTGAAAAGCTAACGGCAGTTCTGTGTGTTTCTTGCTATTGTGATTTAGGCGTTGGAGCTCGACGGTGATAATGTGAAGGCGCTCTATCGCCGTGCAGAGGTATTTACTTAAAGTGGCGATGGAACTGGGCAACATTAGTGTACCGCACATGCGTGGTCACGGGAACCGTCTGGCCATCTGCACCTTCAGAATGTTACACTGTAAAAATTAAGTGTACTACAGTTGTGGCATGTGAAATCCTACACTTGCCATAGGGGACAGCGCCACAAATGGGCACCAATGATGTAATGCACTACACCTAATTAATACTATAGAGCCGTATGCATCCCAAACAGATCGAAAGGTCACAGCGTAGATACACACAGTTCACAAACATGGTACACATAAGAAGTATTGGTATCCAATCCCCATTCATTTTTGCCAGCACCTTTTGAACCTTGACTGTGATGAGTACGAGTTTTGTCATCAGACAGATAAAGTTGTATGTAACACATGTACTGTACGTATGCAGGGCTGCAGGGGCTGCAGACTGCATGGTGCCGTCCCTTATGCCAAGTGTCGGATTTCACTTGCCACAACTGTAAATGTTAGGAAATTAGAGGCCACATGCCTCGTACTGCTCCTTTTCTCTCCGAAGCAAGGTCCCTGGTTCGAGTCCCGGTGGTGTGGCTGATGATTTTTTTCCTTCTTCATATCTGGGTTGCAAGTGTTGAGTTTCGGAGAGAAAAAGAGCAGTGCGAGGCATATGGCCTCCAATTTCCTAATACTTTGAAATTCTCCGTGAAGTCCAATTTTGAAATTATACTAAATGTTGGCAGCTATTTAATTTCGGCTATATTCGGCACCAAGCCAGAATGCCTAAATTAAAACGCGATGAAATTTTTTACATCGGCTTTGGTGATGTACTATTATTAACCCCGTGCTGAAAATAAATCGCTGCCCAAACAACGAAATCGTGAAATGCCGACATTTTGCAGCGCCGACATTTTTTTGTAAATATTTGCAGTAGCCTTTTTTGCTGATGAATGAAGTGATGGTTGTGTGCGCCCATTACATACATGCATCACGGCTCAATACCCCGTCCCGTGTTTACGTGTGCGCTCTAATGCAGGCATACCTTGGTCTCAACTGCCCGGAGGACTCCATCCAGGACCTGCAGCGCGTCCTGAAGCTGGAGCCGGACAACAAGCCGGCCCGCCAGCGCATGCGCCAGGCCGAGGACAAGCAGAAAGTGCTGCGCGACAAGGAGAAGAGCTTGTACAGCAACATCTTCTCCCGCATGGCGCAGGAGCCGCAGGCCCAGGCGCCAGCGCAGCCCAATCTCTTTGAGGAGGCACAGGCGCGCTTGGACGCCGAGAAGGCTGCACAGCTGGCCAAGGTCGAACAAGCCGCAGCGGCAGCAGCCGCCTCGGCAGTGAAAGCAGAAGCCGCCGAGTAAGCCGAATCCACTGGCTGAATCTTGAACATACGATAATTGATTGACTTGTGCATTGTTTTGCCTGTGACTGTGTACCTGGTGCCACTCTGTGCTCCAACATTTCTATAATTATTACGTAGGCTGCAAATTATGCATGATATGACTTCATTCTGCGGGCAATTTGAAGCAATTTCCTTCCTACTGCAAAGAAAAGTTTCAAATCTCCACCCAGCTGATGAAATAGCCGGCCTACACCGCATGCTGCATTTATATACTGACCATCGAATGTCCCTCACTCCCTAGGTATTTTGAAGCTCAGTTCCTTTTTTTATGAAGAAGAAAGCCTTTAAATAATTTCTTTGACCGCTGCTGTCGCTAGCTGCTGCTTTTGCAGTTGATCGTTGCCCTCTTTTTATGCTGCTGTACATTCTGCTACAGTCATGGTATTCCTATTCTTTCATATTTCCATAACAGGAGGCATTTGTTATCATGCTGTCTTTCTACGGTGATAATGAGAGAGCGAGGGGGGGGGGGGTGGAAGCGGAAACTACAAGTGAAGGAAAGTTGAAGGATGTCAGTGGGTCTAGCGCTGAGGTCAGAGCTCAACACAGTAAAGGTCCCACCATGCGTGAACAGACAAAGCACGTAATAGTCGTTACGGACACACGCACAGCAGCAATAGCATGTGCGACCCGAAATTATTAATATTATTTAAATTTTGAATAGGGCAATCCCCACATGCACAGGCCTATTAATTTGCTTAAACTTTAAAGGGGAAGTGCATCGATTTTTCAAGTAGGGCTCAGATGAAAGACAATTGGATATCGGTTCCGATGGTATATCTCTCGCTTGCGTACGGCAAGGGAAACTTGCCATATCGCCGATTTCCCGATCCCGTTTCCATGGCGACTACAGGTGATGACGCACATTCTGCTTAGCTCCGTGAGAGAGAAGGTCGATCACTGCAGAATTGTGTCATTTTCAGTTGTCTTCCTGTATTCACGAAGTGAAAGAAGTACTGTGTTCAATGCTGTTAGTGCCGTGAACTGTTTATCAGTAGTCCTCTCCGTTGTGTACTGGGACGTGACACCGACAGGGGAAAGCTGGAGTGCGGAGACGTTAGCTGGCAAGCGAAAATCGTAACGAACCAAGTGCTGAAATCTTGGTTGGGACAAATCAAACGTTCAGCATTTACCTCAACCAAGGACCATGCCGTTTGCTCTTTCCACTTCCTGAAGATGGATGCGCTGCCTGCTGAAGACTCTCCTATCTCTCGTAACATCTTCTGAAGCCAGGTGAGACGACGAGTAGCGGAGATTAGCGAACGAAATAATGTCGTATGTTTTGAAATTTTTGCTGAACATTTCTCAGGAGAGATGGCGAATACCAAGCATCTTCTCCTAGTCTAGAGAAACCATTTCGTAGGCTACATTCCGCCTAGGGAAATGCAGGAGACGGCCTGGCTGGGGAGGACACACTTGGAGGAGAACGAAGTAAGTGATCTTGTTTATGTTGTTCTTTGGTATTGCAATCTTATGTTTGACGAACATACGGCGTGGTGCATAGTTGGTCGTTGAGTGCCTGCATGTGCATGTAGAAGTGTGTGCTGATAAACACTTTCTATGCAAGAATGTGACACTCATGCTCTCTTTCTTTCTTGCAGTATGTGCTCACGTGTGTGTGTGTATGTGTGTGTGTGTGTGTGAGCGAGAGAGAGTGTGTGCAAGAGCAGCGTGGAGCATGCCAGTGTGATCGCTGTGGCCGTTGCTTTCTTAGCTATGGCGTTCTTGCCCGTCACAAGTGTGTGGCTCAGCCCCCAACGACAGTGGAGCCGTGTTGTGGTGAATACTGTGTGTCCTGCGACCGCTGCTTCCGTTCGGTCCAGGGCAGGAATAGACACCGCTGCTGAAGCTCTCCGCGGCCGTACGTCAGTCTCGTGGCAGATGACCCGAACTCTCATTTTGTGTGTGTGCGTGTGTGTGTGCATGTGTATGTATGTATGTGTGTTGCTCCCTACATAGACAAACTCTTGTTTTTGTGTCCCGGGTGCCATGGGGCGGCGTTCTCCCATTCTCTCTCCACTGCCCCTCCGGGCCCACGTGGCAGTGACTCGACAGGGCAGGGCAAGTGTGTGTATGGTGCATGGTGTGTGCTGGCATGTCTGTATAAATATGTTGGACAGGAATTTGTTCACCCACAACGTTCACGGGAAACCATGCTAGGTGTTGCTGGAACGTATGGAGTCTGCGAGCACTTACAATAACTTACGTCATGTCACAACAAAGAACGGTGCAGTGTTTGACCCTCATGTAAACATGATGGTGATGGTACCTCACCTAAGCTACCCATGAAGCTAGAAAGAACATCAGGTCAACAGAATTGTACCAGAGGAAAGCATCTATTGCCCGAACTTCTTCATATGAAATGAACAATACCCTTCTCCATAGAGACAACATACAGATGAAGTGTATGGACAAATAATATAATATATTATTTGTATAAATAGGCCATTCACTGAGGGCATGGAATGATCTCTACGTGTAGATTGGATAGACACATGCACGTCTGCAAGGAAAGCATTTGTTCATGGGTTAGTTCATGGGCTGATTGAGTTCACATGGACTAAGTTCATACATGCCATCTCTCCTGAGATATGTTCAGCAATCAAAACATACGACATTATTTCGTTCGCTAATCTCCGCTACTCGTCGTCTCACCTGGCTTCAGAAGATGTTACGAGAGATAGGAGAGTCTCCAGCAGGCAGCGCATCCATCTTCAGGAAGTGGAAAGAGCAAACGGCATGGTCCTTGGTTGAGGTAAATGCTGAACGTTTGATTTGTCCCAACCAAGATTTCAGCACTTGGTTCGTCACGATTTTCGCTTGCCAGCTAACGTCTCCGCACTCCAGCTTTCCCCTGTCGGTGTCACGTCCCAGTACACAACGGAGAGGACTACTGATAAACAGTTCACGGCACTAACAGCATTGAACACAGTACTTCTTTCACTTCGTGAATACAAGAAGACAACTGAAAATGACACAATTCTGCAGTGATCGACCTTCTCTCGCACGGAGCTAAGCAGAATGTGCGTCATCACCTGTAGTCGCCATGGAAACGGGATCGGGAAATCGGCGATATGGCAAGTTTCCCTTGCCGTACGCAAGCGAGAGATATACCATCGGAACCGATATCCAATTGTCTTTCATCTGAGCCCTACTTGAAAAATCGATGCACTTCCAGTTTAAGTAAGGCCTTTTTTACAGGGTACCCTACTGCACACTGTAGTATGTGATCACGTACAGAAGTGTGACCCCAGCTACGGCCACAACATGGACGCTGTAACATGGTAACTTAGTGTAAGACTACCGGTTATCATGGTTATCAAGCGAGCGCCCACTGGCACGGGCCGCCACAGTCCGTGGTCACCATGCGCGAAGTCACGACTGGCACGTCACTGAGTCGTTATGGTTATGTCGTCAGCCCACTCGTGTCGGCCGCCCAGTTCAGACAAAGCTGAGATTGAGACTGACTGAACTTCTTGTCTGAAGACGTGCACGTGAAGTGAGGCCAGACACTTGCACTGAGACAGGTACTAGGTATAGGTCGGGCAGGCGGTTCGGAAGGATGCCGACCAGACAAGTCCGAGCCTAGGTGAACGCATCCCACGCAGTCCGTGACCAGTCTGTACTGGTGTGACTTGTTCGTACACTCAACCGTGACCAAAAGTGGCAGTGCATGCAGCCCTGCACTAGCCAGCAGGTGCTCACTGCTCAGTCAGCGAGGTACTAGTCCTCTGCAGGTGTAGACATCACGCCCACGTGCTGGCAGGTCAGTACAGATTGTCAGTGACTGAGTCAGTGAGTGCGAGTGAGTGAGTGCAAGAACCGGAGAACTGTCAAGATCCAGAGCAAAGGAGTGAACACTTATTTTTTACATGTAATGGCGAAGACAGTCGATCCTTCCATAGATTTCATCAGAGCGAAGAAAAATGGAGAAGACTTAGCGCGGCACGTACACACACGCCATGATTGTTCTGCGTGTGATCATGATGATCATAAATCTTTTATCAGGGAGTCTTGAAATATTTAGAAAGAGAAAGGCTTTTCAGTTTCACGACTGCTTGATCATGCTGATGCGTGTGTGTGTGTGTGACCTTTTGAGTTTTGTTACATCGCGTCAGCCTCGGCGAAGCTAGAATAATAGTCTGTAGTAGCTTTCACTGAGTTTCAGTCTTGCGCGGTAGATCTATGTAGCTACGCGGACCGCGCGCGGTACGGTGCGGCTTTTATTTGTCCCCAGTTTTACAGTTTTAGTTCTCCGGGCCGACACTCCACGATCCACAAGGACCACATGCGCGACGCACATAAAGTTTACGCAGTCACACTCGTACTCCCACACACTGTCACATCACAGCATGCATAGCAAGCTACAGCGCAGCACGCTCGTTACTCACGATCACGTGCACAGAAAAAAATGGTAGTCAAGCCACACACGTATACAGTCACCACACACTAGGCTTGGCTAGGTTAGAGGTGGTCTGCAGGGTCAACGAGCTAACAAAAGCAGATGAATGGATGCGATTGCGATTCCAACGGCTCGAGCAATGGTACTCACGTCGACCTACATACTCATCAGGTAGCCAGCGGCAATCTGACAGTGAGAGATGGAGGTCGACAGTGTTAGTGGTTGACGACTCAAGCGCTCGCGCTAGCAGGGGAAGTAGTTTGCGGGCCCTCGAGGAAATTGTCCAGGCACATCGCTTCGCTGCTGCAGCCGACGAGAGGGCCTTGTCTGCCACCGGCGTTTCTCTTTGACAGTCGCAACGAAGCGTTGAGAGCCTTGTCTGGATTGAGTAAAACACCCTGGCACCAGCAGAGATTCAGCATTATTCTACCTGCACTGGATAGAGGCTGCTAGCTAGTCCGAGCTGAAGCAAGGTTGTTTCAACTAACTTTCGTAGATTTGTAGGCTGGCTTACAAGAAGTCGTCGCATGTTTGTGGACTGTAGTAGAAATATTCACCTTTAGAAGTGCGTTCGCGTAGCGACCTCCTGCTGGGCACTGCTGCAAGTTCTGGTACTGCACTGGTTGTGCACTGATTAGCTTACGGACGTTGTAGTGAGAATATTTTTAGTGAGTATTACTATTACTAGGCAGCGAGACACTGTGCCCTCTGCGCAACGTGACGGTGTGCCAACTCGCGGCGGATACTGATTGGCGCTAGGTAGTAGTAGCAGTTGGCGAAGAAGGCACACGTAGATCTACGTGGTGGTTGGTGAAGATGTCGACTCTGTTACCATTCACGCCGCCGATAGTCAAACGCTTGGTGGGCTATGTCAGGTCGGACGACGAAAAGGTTTGGGCCGAGAAAGCTATCAAGTCTCTCGTCAAGAAGCTCAAGAAAAACAATCAGCTTGGAGAGCTGGAAAAGGCTATCACGAACGCAGGCAGCAAGCCGACGAAATGTATTGTTATTCCCCGCTCATTGGACGGCAGATTACAGATCTCACACAGAAAAGGATTGCCGCATGTGATCTATTGTCGGCTGTTTCGCTATGGTGATCTACAAAGCCATCATGAACTGAAGGCGATCGAGTCCTGCGAGTACGCATTCCACCTGAAGAAGGGTGAAGAAGTTTGCGTCAATCCTTATCATTATGACAAGGTTCCTACACCAGGTAAGCGCTTTGATGTCCGAGTTCCGTACGAGTAGCACTAGCAGTTTACCCCAGGTGATGCTTTTTTATTTATAAAATTTAATACTCATTCATTTTTATATGAACTGCCATGCATGCTCCACTCTTTTGACCTTCAATGCTTCATCATGTAACTCGCGCATCATGTTACAACTACAAGTCATGTAGGCCCACATGAAAAATACGATCATGTACTCTGCTGGTACTGTCGTCCCAGTCCCAGCTCCTGAACAGACGTAGGTACGACCGGTCGACCGGTAATGGGTGAAAGAACGGGGAAATTCTCCGATCGTCCAGTGTAGGAGTAACTCTTATGTAGGCAGTAGTAGTACTACTGCTAGTCCTGTAACTCCTGTAATATTAGGCTGTAAGTATAGTAGTGGTTGTGGTCTGGTGGTCATTGGCAGGTGTCTCATCCTGCCGTCCTGTACTACAAAATTAATGCAAATCTACAAGACTCAGTAGTGTTGATAACATTAGGCCATTGGGGTTTAAGTTAAATAGCCGTTTATCAATCATGGGCATTACCATTATCACCAGTACAGTTAGACAAAGCTGCACTATGTACATTACATGTACATGTACTAGCAACTCTGCATACTTATTCGAAAAGCTGCTGACTCACGCTCGTATACTTGTGTCCTGATTTGAAAATCTCGGGGAAATCATTCACATAAACCAGTATTGGATGTGGCTGCATGCAGTGTGCCATAGACAAAACCGTGACAAGATATTGGGTATAGTAAATAATTACTTGTCTCTAGTCCCAGAGGTTATGCACTATCTTGATTTCTAGTATTTTCTACCATACCCATACCCAATGGCAATGGTCAGTTATCATACTCTTATGTTCATGGCTTTGGGAGGTATGATAGATTCTACTCCTTACACTAGTACTTTGCAGTAGGTAGATTCAAGGGGATTCCAAGGCTCACTGAATTTATTCAAAATGCAATTAAAATTCAGTAGTACATCCTAAACGTGGGGTGTCACCATGTCCTGAACATGGGGGTGCCACAACTGGCTGCAACTAACTAACTGACTTGTATTTGTAGTGCTGCTTGTGCTTTTGAACTGCACACTTACCCAGTGCCAGTGGCAAGGCGACAATGTGCCATTGCCTCAAGTATCAAGTATTGGTGTGCAGACAGTTGCCTTGGTGGCGGGGACAGTGCTGCCTGTGACTGTAGCCGGGAGCAATGGTGTCATTCATCCTTTTCCTTGAGCCACGCATGAAAGATTTGATTGCCTGGTATCTAGTCCTGCCAGTCACTGTCCGGACGCACAGCTATACCACATTAGATATTTGCGGACAGGAGGGTGTCTCTCTAGTCTAGGTGTGCCCGCTCTGAAGCCTTTATCGTGCTGTTCAGAATATCATAGGTCATGAAGATAATGCCTGAGGCCGTGAGAAGAGGATAGCTTTGTCACCAAGTACTCAGTATTGAAACCATGTTGTCAGTGCAGTTACAGTCATGTGGTACTGTCACACCGATGCTCATGCAGGGTAGTTCAGGACAGTGCTCATGCAGGGTAGTTCACTGCAGTACCGCAGTAAATGCAATACATTGTAAACTGCTGTAAAAATAAAATAAAATAAAAACAAAAATAAAAAACTGCTGTCAATGTCCTATTGAAGAAAGGACTAAATGTTTACTAAAATGTTATCCGTAGTTGACCAACACACATCTGAGTTCAATTTCCTATGGGTGAGAGAATTCTGAGCCTCGGTGTGAGCTGTTTATAACAGGAAGCTGGTGGTTCATGGATGAGTGAGTTGCTGTGAGGTGGAATGAGCGGCACTTCAAAAGTACACACCTTCCCAGTGTTTTCTCCTCTGTTAGTGTTACTCTTGTGACTTGTGAACAAGACTCAATGTGATTTGTGCTGTTTGTTTCCACAAATAGCTTCTTCCTGCTCTGGTGCAGTGCACTCAAATTGGTCATGCTCTCTGCATGTTTGTGTACGGTTCAGGGTCTGCATGCCTTGTTTTTTTGGACATGGCTGCTTGCTCAGGCTAAGTGCAACTGGGCTTCTTGGCTCTTCTGACATTGTCTCATTGTGGGCTAGTGAAAACTCTGCCAGAGAAACTGCTGTGTATCATTTTCTGGGCTTGACCGTGCTCATTAGAAAGTTTCGCTCGCTGATCGGGTACACATAGCGCTGGAACTTGAATGCCAGTGGTTCTTAGCTATTACTGCTCTGGGTTCTGAACTTCATAATGTGTGGAGGCGATATAAGAGCATGTGTAGTCAGGACCTGCAGTATCCAGTGGAAACCTGACACAGTGGGAGTCACTGGTGCTAGCCTGGAGGCCAAATGCCTCAGTTCACCAGGCTTCAAACACCCATACTATGCGGCCATAGAAATTTGTGAACCGGCAGATGATGAGATCAATCATCACCACTAGTACTAGGAGTACTCTGGGGATTACTGATGTGTGGATGTGTGCGGATTAGAGCTTTCCCTGTCACAAAGCCAATTTGCCGTGCTAATCACCTGTCCAGGAAAAGTAATCGCGCTTGCCATGCACTGTTAGTGGGCCAGTCAGGTTTGTGTCATGGTGTGTGTGTGGGGGGGGGGGGGGGCATAGTACGTGTATCTATTTGCACTTTGTAGCAAGGAAGCAAGCAACGCAATGTCATGCTAGCTCCTAGGGAACACAGTGGTGTTGATAGCATGCCGATGTACAAATGGGACACGTTGACACGAGACAGCTTGGATGTAACCGGCCGACCTTTTCAATGTGACATGCCTTGTACTTGTGGGGTGTTTAACGCAGTGTGGTGCCATGATTGGTGTGGCATGTGTTCCTCATGATTCCTGCCATGTAGCAAGAACTCATGATTCCTGCCATCTAGCAAGAACTCATGATTCCTGCCACGTAGCAAGAACTCATGATTCCTGCCATGTAGCAAGAACTTTTGCTCTTTACCCGGTCTGTTATTGACAACGTGTGCTTTCTTTTCTACGCCCACTGTTGCCGTGGTTGCAGTTCTTCCGCCTATCCTGGTGCCACAGATGCAGTCGAACGCGGTGCCGCTGGACATGATCCTGCCGGACATGGATCATGCGTTCATGAACCCGCCGTCAGACGCCACTACACGCTGGAGCCCAACCGGAGGCCTGGCCGAGGACCCGCTCTCCAGCATGAACATGATGCCGGGTAAGGACAGGTACTCTGTGTGGTTCGAGTTCCAGATATAATCATGACTTTAAGTAAGCCGTGATTTTTGAAAGGATTTGTTTACGAATACACTGATGATCGATATGACTGTACATGTCCTATGAGACTTTAAAGTACTTTGATGAACAATGCTTTTGAGATTTTTTTTGTTTTGTTTTGGGATAATTACAGTGAAGAATCCGGCCACAACGCCTGCACAAATACATACGAATAACAAAGCCCTAAAAAGAAATACTAAGCAGCAATAGCTGCCTCTGAAACCGCCAGCATGGCTCTTGTTGATCAATTCTTTGTTGATATTTTCCAAATAATGTTCTAGACCCTCTAAGGCACACTATACATGACCTTAGGAGGGCAAAGGAAATGCGGCACCTGACAAATGCCGTGACATGTGAATATGGTTCATTACGTCAGCCAGCAGCGATGTGATTCTCTTATAAAGGCTGGTTGCCGAACGCCCAAAACCACCTGACGCCGTCACGACCACCGAGGTAAACGACGCATGTTCGACTTACCGGACCCGCTACTCATACTTTCTTCGTTTTTCCTGTTCATGTCGGTGATAGACAGTGGCCAGTGGTGCAGTGTGGTTCGAGGCGGCATGAGGGTTAAACACCCGTACATCAATGCTTTTGAGATAGGACGGTAATGGGCTATCATAGCTGTAGTAGTTCTAATGTTGAAGGTAGACCGCAATGTAGTGTACACGTATCATGAACACACGGACCATATTACTTATTTCAATTAACATTGTGGAATGTGTTTTGTGTTGTTGACCTTGCAGAGACTCCGCCACCGCGATACACAGCATCGTATTCCGATACGGAGTCCTGCTATGGCGGATCATCTGTTGTCAGCCCAGGTACTACTCGACTTTTGCTTGTGTTGGGGACCAGGTACTGAATACCCCCCCCCCCTCCTCTCCCTTTTCACCTTCTGAAGCTCTATGCGATCCGTGGTTCATGCAACTCATGGTTGCGATCCCGGCCTCGACCTGCTGACTCCAATTGCCACCCAGATGAGCGATGTCGTATGCAAGCATGCACGAATCGGTGCTGCCCAAAGGTCAACTGGAACAGGACGCCCAGGATAGGTCTACATTGTTTCACATTCCACCCGCCCTTGTCGTCACTCTAGATGTTACGATTCCCTGGTTATCACCTACCTTAGATTTCATGCAGCACTTTAGTTGAGGCAGAAGAACACCCAGTATGATTGGTAATAATCTACATGCATGTCACACTCTGCTCACCGTACTGTTCCTTGCATGGCTCATTGCATGGTATTTACTTGCATGTCGTTGCTCTGTTTGTGGACAGCCGACTCACCAATGGGGTATGACTGGTCACCACAAGGACCCTCAGCATGTAAGTATTAGATTGTATTTCAAGTATGGATAGTTCTATGTTTGAAGTTAATGTATTACACCGTAGACATCCGCGGGTAACAGAAAAAACTTGTTCGGCTTACGGTCCGAAAAGCTAGGGTTTGTTTGTTCTGCCAGCTATTTCCTCTGTTTTTGGTTTCCCCATTGTGACCAGGGTGACTGGGATCCTTTCACTCAGGAGTACTGAATGTGCTGGACTGTGATGTACGCTTTAGCTGCGCTAGTATGAATAATATGAACAGCGGGGTTCTACTTGTAAATGTACCCTGATCGCAGTGAAGTCGAATGCTTATGCTTCTGAAGTAGTGTTGCAACTCTCATTTCCTTGATCTGGACATGATGTCATGACCTCTCAAAAATGATTGCTTTGAACATTTCATGACCTGTTCAAAATAATCTGTTATTGCTTGTAATATGTCATGACCTGTGTTGGAAAATGATCTGTTATTCTGCTTGTACAGTGCCGCCTGCGCCCAGTGTAAGTCCTGGCACGTCCATTGCCCAGGTACCTTATCCCGAGACCAGCGCCTGGTGTAAAGTCTTCTACTACGAGCTGCAGACACGCGTCGGTGATCCTTTCCATGTGAGTTAGTGAACTTTGCCACAAGATCGGGCATGTCAGTCACAGGTGTATGCTTGAGTAAGGATGTGTGCTGGGCAGATTTCATCGCAAATGACCCAATACCACTAATTTTAGGGACCAAATGAACCGAACTGCTGATTCAAGAATCAGAACCTCGTTCAAAAGTTAACAATGTATTCCAGTGTTTTGGATCAAGTTGTAGACAGTGGTACCGACCGTCCTTTGGATGCCAATGGATTGATTACAAATTGCTGAGTCTGTGTCAGCGCATGTAGAACCAGTGTGAATGGTCTCCTTTCTGTGCTTATTTTCTAGGCCACAGAGAACTATCTTACCATTGATGGGTTCACGGACATGGACAACCCGTCTCGCTTCTGCCTCGGCCTTCTAACTAACCTGCATCGCAATGCCACCACCGCACAAACACGCCAGCACATCGGCAAAGGGGTGCGCCTATACTATGTCGGAGGTGAAGTATTTGCCGAGTGTCTGTCTGAGAGCAGTGTGTTCGTCCAGTCGCCCAATTGCAATGTCCGCTATGGTTGGCACCCGGCGACGGTGTGCAAAATTCCGCCTGGCTGTCATCTCAAGATCTTCAATAACCAGGAGTTTGCTACGTTACTTGCACGCAAAGTCAATGAGGTAATTACAGTAATACGTGAGGCGTAACGTCACTTTGCTCTTTTAGGAGACAGTTTTTGTGTGTCCGCGTGTCTGTGTGAGGGGGGGGGGGGGGGAGGTGATCCATAATCAGTAGCTACAGCTCAGTATGCACGGATTTCTATGCTACAGTGCTTCATACTGCTCTACTGTTTCCCTCTTCTCTTTTGATGCTTGTGTGGACAGGGCATCAAAGAAGTGTACAAGCTGACACACATGTGCACGATTCGATTGAGTTTCGTGAAGGGCTGGGGCGCGGAATACCGTCGCCAGACCGTCACCAGTACACCGTGCTGGGTGGAGATACATCTTGAAGGCGCACTGAAATGGCTTGACACAGTCCTCACGGAGATGGGATCTCTACCACCTGGAAGCTCAACCTCTTGATCATTAAATTTTAGTATCTGTCCACATCTCAGTGCCATAAACTAGCAAGCATGGGTATACAACCATGCCCAGTGTGAGTGGGCCTTTTATTGTACAAGCAAGTGTGCTCTCCCAATGAAAATTGCCTTCTGTTGATCAAGGCTGTGATGCCATTTGTACATTTCTTAGTGGCTCCATTGCCTGTGTAGCTTGATATCGACTGTGTTTCTCACACACATGCACGCAAAGAGAGAGAGAGAGAGAGAGAGAGAGAGAGAGAATGTGTGTGTGAGCGAGAGAGAGAGAGAGAGAGAGAGAGCGAGAGAGAGAGAGAGAGAGAGAGAGAGAGAGAGCGAGAGAGAGAGAGCGAGAGAGAGAGAGAGAGAACGAGAGAGAGAGAACGAGAGAGAGAGAACGAGAGAGAGAGAGAGAGAGAGAGAGAGAGAGAGAGCGAGAGAGCGAGAGAGAGAGAGCGAGAGAGAGAGAGAGCGAGAGAGAGAGCGAGAGAGCGAGAGAGAGAGAGAGAGAGAGAGAGAGAGAGAGAGAGAGAGAGAGAGAGAGAGAGAGAGAGAGAGAGAGAGAGAGAGAGAGAGAGAGATGAGTTTAGCCCTGTCACTAGGTAGAGATGCCATAATTAAGACCCTCTCTACAAGTTTCTTGTTCTATTTGTAAATACTTGCACAGTATCTTGCCAAGAGTCAAACCGTGCTGTGATATATTTCTGGTTGAGAATTTCCAAGGTCTAACTGGTTTTGAGTTCATTTAGGTTTCTATCTCTGCTCTAGCATTTTCTACTGCGTATAGGATTTATACTGTAGGCGGACCGCACTGTAGCATTGCACACTGCCTGGGTTTAGTTAGAACAGCATAGCACTCTAGATCCTCAGTTTTTCCCCAGTGTTTTCCTGGCAGTAGAATGATTATGCTGTGAATATCTGATTAATTGGCTTGAAGATGTTCCAATAAAATGTTTCCATCCGAAGCGATGTGTTTGATGGTTGATCAGTGATAGTGAGTAGTACGTGCCTGCCTGCGCTTGCAGTAGTAGCAGAGCTGTGATCATCCCCAACAGCAGGGCTCAGAATAGACAGTGCACACCACCACCAAGCATGCTGCTGCCGTCACGTGATGGCTGCCAACACACACGCACGCAAACATGAATGTGTCATTGTACATCATCAGATGTACTAATCAATGTCTCTGCTGTAACGCGTCTTGATGCCTGCATAGAGCCTATCCAGAGCAGCAAGTTGCTCATTGATAAGTGCAATGTGAGACGTCGTGTAGCGCTGGAATGGCACTAGCTGCTCGTTTTCCTCAGTTCTAAGCTGGTTCACGTTCTTGCCGACACATTCAACTCTCTTCAGTGGTAGTTGAAACCCTACAAACTGTGCAAGCTCCTTGCAATACTTCAGAACATGGTCGCTTTGCACCTGCTCTAGGAATAGTACCAGTTTTGGAACGTCACAGCTAAGCCATTTCTCCAGCGGTCGAACCCAGCGCTCAGCTCCGTCAGCCACGAACTCATCCCATGTAGCTGATGAAGAAGACCACAGGAAATGCAACAGAGAGTAGCTTACATTTCAATTAAAACAAGTTCAAAAATACTGGACAAGGCTTCTACGCAAAGAGCGGCTGCATCTTCATGCAATGATGAAAGCTAGAAAGGGAGGTGCATGTGGGTGAAGAGAAGGTTTATCATCTTGGTAACCACCACGGTCCAACCATGCAGTTGAGCTTAGTAGAGAAACACAACCAGGTCAAGAGGTTTAGCCGGTCATGCCAGGTTGCCATGCACAATGCCTGATCATACTCGTACCCTATACGAGCGTGACGGTGACCTTCAAAGAGACCTCTGACGGCTCTTTTGACATCCCTTACTGGCCTTAGAGAGGTTCCAGCACAAAATTATTAGTTGTTACCTTCCCAGCTACATTCACCCGTAGCCAACACAGATAACCACACATGCTGAAGTATACATGTGCGTAGATGCTAGGACGGGCCATGTGTACAGCTCGTGACTTTATCACCTGTTGTCCATATGCATGAGGACAAACTAGGCTGGGAACAAGCCATAGAGTGACAAATCGTCCATAGCTCACCCATGCCCATCTTGGCATCCCCGCACATGCCTAGGTGCAATATCTCTATCATGGCTTACCTGCACGGCAACGTGGTGTGCTTGAGGAGACCTTGCCTCCACCGATTTTGCCAGTCTGCTTCACACAGCGGCTGAAGTCGGCGCGTATCGTCACAAAAGGGTCGCTCAGCACGATTATGGCCCGCTTCACATCCGAGCACGTGAGACGGCGGAAAACGGAGGATGTAGAGTTGTGCGCGTGTGTTTCCACTGCAATAACGGAGCTGTCATGGGTACCCTCGGCGAAGAACCCCTCTCGACGGAGATGCGAGTCGGTCCTGTAGACACTTCCCGTCAGCACGCCACTCAACTGTTCCAGCAGCCGACGCACAAACACGCCTCCGCCAGCAGCCGTTGATGCCAAGGCAATCGGTCTCAGGCACTTGGCGGCATCATGCCATGTTGTAGCGTTGGGTTGGAGCAAAGCCGGAGTACAGCATGGCTGTACACGCTTTATGAATCTGGAACGCAGGAGCTTGCTGTGCTTTGAATGCAGCTTGTGTGTGGCATTTATGTCAATGAGCTCTGGAATGAGGACACCATCGAGCACTTCATAATTGGCGTAGTGGACGTGCTTCACATCGAATCCATCCGAGCAGCCCGCTGCCTTAGCGTCTAGCCAACACTGCACGGTCTTGGCTTGCCAAATAGATGAGCTTTCAGAGGCCGAATGGTCACTCATCCTGCTTGTCCGAGATGGGGACAGTCGTTGATGTGCTGGTCCGGAAGCCACTGAGGCTCGAGCATGGTCCCAAGCTGGCCAAAGGCACTGGCTTGTCCATGAATGGTAGATCGGTGGCAGGAGAATGATCAGACATGCTAACACACCCACCATAAAATTCGACAAACGGTCACTGGGCATTTCTATTTCGGATCATTCCGCGAAAATGCTAATCTTCAGGCAAGTAAGTTAGTTAGCTGATTTCGCACAGCGTCGACCATATCCTCTATGATCCAATGAAAATTGCAATGGCGTAGGGATACATTATTGTAGGCGCATGTGCGATTCCTCACGTGATTTACTCCTTTCCGGTATCGTTCCAGACGATAGAGTCCCACATGCACACGGTGTTGAGGATCACACCATTCGGACACGCTTCACTGAGTTCACTCTCGATCTCCGCAGAGCTACAAGCAGCACCATCGTCCAGTGGCGGTCAGAACTCGAAGAGGAGGAGGCCACATACTGACATAGGTTCGGCAGCGTGTAGAACTACTACCGGTAGTATGTTACTTGCGGTGTGATGGATAAGACCATAAACTACACTCAGTGACCAGGTGACTGTCCTGACGACCTCCACTTCACTGTCCTTTGAAGAGACTGACACCATGGACACAGTCATTCACAACTACTAGTGGCGCTAGCGGTCCTAACCTGGCTCCTATCAAAGTGTAGAGCTAAATAGTTGATAAAAGCATAACTAATGTTTATATTGCTTGCGAATCGAGACACTTTCGTTGGCAAGCATGCAGCGTGTCGTTCATTCATCTGTCTTGAGTCGAGAGCATCCTGACTCCTTGACAGTCCCCAAAACATTCTATTCGCGATGATGGATTGGCAGGATATATTTTTGCGAAAGTCGGAGGATTCATGGTACGACGGCTTGTCGGATCGGAGTCGGAAGTCGGTGATGATTTGCTCGACTAAAAGTAAAACAGTAAACTAAAAGACTAGTACTTAGTAGTAGTACTAGTAGATCTACAGAGTAAGAGCAAGACTATGACAGTATGAGTATGAGCGGCGACGTCATGGTTTCGCTCTCCCAGTCCCGGCCTCGCGAGCTCGGTCAGGTAAAGCCGCAAAGCACACATCGCATTCGCACGTGCACAGACTCGGTGCTGTCATCGATCATCATGCATGGTCTTCATGGTCTTGGTGCTCACGTTTTTATTTTCTGTGTGTCAGGAATCCTTCACGATGTTGTGGTCATTTCTTCACTGACTTCACTCATGCAATGCTGCATGCATGGTCTAAACATTCGCGATTTTTTTACTCGATCTCATTCTTCTGCCACTTGTCTTTGCGATCTGTTCGTGCTCTTTGCTAGGCTCGAAGCGCGAGCGCCGAAGAGACTGAGTGATCGACATGACTGTCCTGAGCATCATAAGCATGCTCGAGAACCAGTTCTGGCGCTAGGCGCTCAGCTCCGCCGTTGAGCTGTCTGTGCTGTGCAAGATTGGAGAAAGGTTACATTTCATTTGACTTACTGGTACCTCCTAAAAATGCCTCCTAAACGAGCAGCTGCGACTGCCTCGACCACCAAACCACCCGCTGGAGCGAGGGCAACAGCAGCGCGTGGCGGGAGGACGGCTGCTCCGGCCGCCGCACGGGGAAGTTCCCACGCGGCATCCCATCAGGCTGCCGGCACAAGGCAAGGGACAGCAGCAGCAACAGCAGGAAGAGGCGGCACAGCAGCAGCAGCTAGCACCAGGGGACGTGGAGTGGGACCTGTCCGGGGAGGGAATGCCAGGGGAAGGGCTGCACCGGCTCGAGGCGGGAAGGTGCAGCCTCAGACAACTAAACAGGCTGGGACGAAAGGTCCGAGTAAAGCTGCAGCAGGGGCCTCAGCAACAAAGGCGAAAGCAAACGTCTGGACGAAAGAGGATTCTGCGGCGCGCATATTGCAATGCTTGGTAAGGAGATTTCTTGCTCGGCGAAAGCTTGCTGGCCTGCGCCTCAAGAAGCAACAGTACAAGGATGAAATGGATGGAATCGAGAAGGAGGTGAGCATGCAAAACTAACATACACGCAGCACTAAAGCCAAGGCGAGTACAGTGCTACATGAGCCTTGGCGCTGCTTTCAGCACGTGGCCGTGGGTCGGATTTCTTTGGCCACAGCTGTACAGGTATGCCCGAGTATGATGTCATGGACCATCAGCAATCACCCTAATCCAGGCATTGCCAGTGCAGAAGGTGGTCATGCTCTTCCATGATGTATGCTCACTACTTGTGTAAAAAATTCACGGTTCGCGTCAGACTCGGCTAGAGGCCGAGTTTTCCGCATCCGTACGAACACCACCACCCTTCAAGGATCAAGGCGCAGACGCAGATCCTAAAGCGGTGCACTACAATAAAGTACTTGTAGATGGACAGATAAGTTGCACTGATCGGATGTTCCTCATTTTAACATCTATCTGGAATGTCCGACAGTTGCTGTGTTTAGTTGCATGTGTGAATGCATGCTGGGCAAATCAGGATGCATGTACATGTACATCTACTATAATTGGTGACATCATAATTATGTGCATGCCATGTACAATTTATTGCATCATGTATCTCGGCGCATTGCCTACAGGCGTGGCGGCAGATTATGCTGCGGGAGCAGAAAGAAGCCGAGGAGCAGAGACAGCGTGAGGCTGAGGAGCGTCGCAAGAGACGCGAGGAGGCCAACAGGCAGAAGAGAATGCTGGAAGCAGCGTTCGATGGAGATCTAGAAGACATCGCAAAGCTCTTCAAAGAGGTGAGACTGTGGCTGCCTAGGCTGGTTGTTTGGGTGATACTTTGATGCACCTGCATGATACCTGAATCTGGCTGCAAGATCATGCATCACTGCAATGAAGTTCACCTCCGCTACTGTCACTGCCGCAGCTGCTACCGCCACTCCACCGCCATGACCCCTCACCACCCCTCATGACGACCCCCCCCCCCCACACACACCACCATCACCATCATGCAAACAATGCAGGGGGCAGTTTGCGGTGATTTAAATTTGTGCATGTGTGTTGACCGTGAGGCTAATGAAATTAAGTGTTGAGCCTTTTAACGTTGTCTCTTTCTGTTTCATCTGTGTGAGGTCTTTAGGTGGAATCTGTGGCGACAGTGGAGGCAAAGGCTAAGTCGAAAGATGGCTTGACGCGAGACCAGATGAACTCGTATGTTCGTAACCGGCAGACAAAACTGGCCGACTGCGAGGACGCCAACAAGAACACTCCATTGTCAGAAGCCGCGGCTGGCGGCAGTACCGAAGCCATCCAGGTTTTGCTGAAGTATGGCGCGGACCCCAATTCAAAGGGAGGCTACGGTCGAACGCCGTTGTACCGCGCAGCCTTTGCAGGGCACCTTGACACAGTCAAAGTAAGTTAACCTATAATGGTGGTAAGGTTTGTGTACAGGTACTTGACCGTTTTCATAATGATGTATTTAGAATAGGAACTGGATTTTCTGTGAAAGCATTTTTCAGTCTGCTAGGGTCTTCTTCATATTATCATAGATTCAAATGTGTCTCTGAGGATCGTATTGTTCACTAGAAACGTGTTGTAATAGTGTCCAGTTGATGTATGGTGCCTTAGCATAGGCTGCTTGGTGTTAAACACTGCGCGGTGTATGAGATCTGAGGGAACGTTATGCTGGCTCAATGATAGTGATTGTGCTGATGGCCGGTATGCCCTATGCAGGCGTTACTGGATTGTGGAGCTGATCCCAGGCTCCATGCTGAGGACGGTGCAAAGCCAGAGCAGGTCAGTCGCAACCCGAGTTACGGGATGCACATGGGGGATTTTTTGAAAAGCGATCGCGTATATTCACTCATACCTCGTTTATCCGGGCGGTCCAGGACCGGGAACTGTCCGTAACTTCGAAATGTCTGTCGCTCCAAATCACGCACAGGCCACGTGATAAGAAATCATGGTCGTTCTGACATAATTTCCTGACACTTCTTCAATTGGTCGGACATGCCCCGACATACCGCTTTGCCACACATGTCTTTGAAAGCCGAAGTTTTCAAATTTCTTGACCCAACGATGAAGGACTCAGAGAAACTTTTGGACGAACAAATTTTCTCGGCGAACCGCAAACAAACCTTGAACCTAAGCTCTTCACCCCTGCGCGATCATCTCTGCATGTCTCATACTCCAACCAAATGGATGCGGAAAAGGTCCTTGTGGCGATCAGCAGTCCACTTGTCACAAGTGGCCACAGAGCTTCTTTCTAGGAGGAACGCCATCGCGGCCACCTCAGTTTTCTCTTCCCTAACTGAACTCGCCATTTCTGATTGCAGCACAACTGTAGAGGGGAGTCGTTTTATGATACTTTTTTGTATCGGATAGATCGGACACTTTGTCCGTCGCATGAATATTTTGCCCGGACAGCGACCGAAAATGGTCGGAAAATGTCCGATGTCCGACCGTTATTTCATGGACTGACATACATGTTGATGGGGAAAGGCCATGGCTATGGCATATGGTGTCACTATTTCCACAAAAGTGACAAAAGAGTAGTGATATTTCTGCTGAAACTCACCCAAAGGGTGCCCGGTAGACCGAAGTGCCCGTAACTTCGGGGTCCGGATAACCGAGGTACGAGTGTATGACACTTCTAGCATTAACATAGTCGTGTGGGTCTAACGCGGTCAATGGCTCTGGGAAAGCTCTGCAGCAATACACATACAATACGGTGACAGTCTACTGGCGGCAGCTAGCTGGGCTGACTAGCTTGTGTAATGATATGCCTTCTGATACTCACACGCATCAGCAGGATGACATCTGAATATGACACCGGTTTTGTATGAATTGGATGAGTCAACTGGTTTTTTCTCTTTCAAATCAAGGTCCAGATGGCCGGTCATGGCTAAACCTACCAAGATGGCGTAGTAAAATTTTATGTGTATGTCATGAAGCCATAATAACACCAGAGTAGAGTGCACTCTAGGCATACTAATCTTATGTTGTTCAGAACTGGTCACCGACGAGCAGCAGTTTGACCATCGGTGGCATATCCACGGTATATCTCTGTATTGCAGATTGCCAGTCAAGACGCGGTGCGTGATGTCCTGGCAAACTGGGACTTGGCCAGCACCGAGACTGCACTTTCAAACCTCTCGCTGGAGAGGGAGAAACGGGACAAGGCCTGGAGTGAACTGAAAGCGGCCGAGACAAAGCGGTGAGACAGTGCAAGTGCAGGGCTTGACCAAGTTCCACGTTCATGTACCCCAATGTGTGAATTGTCATAAACTGCCTATCAATCAATGCATGTACAATCCATCAATATGATTGTAGCAATTGTGCTTTGCTGTTACAATCTTGTTCTCTGGATGAATTTCCATTCACATTATCCTTGCGTCTCTCTCTCTCTCACACACACACTCATGCTCATGCACACACACACACACACACACACACACACACACACACACACACACACACACACACACACACACACACACACACACACACACACACACACACACACACACACACACACACACACACACACACACACACACACACACACACACACACACACACACACACACACACACACACACACACACACACACACACACACACACACACACACACACACACACACACACACACACACACACACACACACACACACACACACACACACACACACACACACACACACACACACACACACACACACACACACACACACACACACACACACACACACACACACACACACACACACACACACACACACACACACACACACACACACACACACACACACACACACACACACACACACACACACACACACACACACACACACACACACACACACACACACACACACACACACACACACACACACACACACACACACACACACACACACACACACACACACACACACACACACACACACACACACACACACACACACACACACACACACACACACACACACACACACACACACACACACACACACACACACACACACACACACACACACACACACACACACACACACACACACACACACACACACACACACACACACACACACACACACACACACACACACACACACACACACACACACACACACACACACACACACACACACACACACACACACACACACACACACACACACACACACACACACACACACACACACACACACACACACACACACACACACACACACACACACACACACACACACACACACACACACACACACACACACACACACACACACACACACACACACACACACACACACACACACACACACACACACACACACACACACACACACACACACACACACACACACACACACACACACACACACACACACACACACACACACACACACACACACACACACACACACACACACACACACACACACACACACACACACACACACACACACACACACCTCAGACCTCAGACACGCCCATCGTGGAAGCGATGATAGCGAACAGCTATGATAGACATAGCAACTTGTGCTGGGATTACACCATTCAACAGCTTGCAAGGCTGATGAATTGACCGCCACTATTTTTAGCCTGGTATCCACCACACAGCTGTTTGAAGTGACTTTTTCTGGTCAGTGAATCCTTATTTTTCGTTTTTCCATTTTTTCTTACACACACACCACACCACATACTCCGGCATACACTGGCTGTTGGTAACCACCCAGGAGAATGAAAGAAAAGCCAGGAAGAGTCCGAGAAAGAGAAGAAAGACGTGTGCGACCATAATCGTCGGGAATTGAACCCGCAACCTCTCGATTGGAAATCGACTGCACATACCACTGCACCATATGGGACACACACACACACACACACACACACACACACACACACACACACACACACACACACACACACACACACACACACACACACACACATGCACAAACACACACACACACACCTCTCTTTCTCTCTCTCTCTCTCTCTCTCTCTCTCTCTCTCTCTCTCTCTCTCTCTCTCTCTCTCTCTCACCATACACTGCAACTTCCACATTGCAAGTCCATCAGTGCTATGTGTTGATCGGCATGATATAAACTTGGAAATTGGTGCACTTTGGCCATGCAGCTTGACGGACAGCATCCTCGACGCAGAGCAGGAGCACAAGAGATGGCAGAAGGAGGTGAGTGATGCATGTTTGGGATCGTAGCAAAACAACAACAAAAAACTATTGAATGTATTCAAATGGAGTAGGACTCTCCACGACCAAGTCTGTGTTCAAATCATGCCCAGCTAAGATATATTTTTTCTGGTTGGATCACTAGCCTGCTGATCACATGTGATGGTAGTCTCTCTTACAGTGTGTGTGCGTATGTGTGTGTGTGTGTGTGTGTGTGTGTGTGTGTGTGTGTGTGTGTGTGTGTGTGTGTGTGTGTGTGTGTGTGTGTGTGTGTGTGTGTGCCGGTACCCACATGTACCCAAAACTTCTCAAAATTCCTTGTCGTTGTAGTTTGTACATGCACTACAAAAGCCCGTTATGGCCACACTTGCCGTCCTGACTGGCATAGTATGGCAGTCGGCAATGAAAGTTGCAACCGAGTTCCCATCCTTCT